AAGAAAGCAAAGATCTTCTAATTTAAGTTATGATGCCCGTTCTGGTTGAGTAAATGATGACAAGCTTGACAACGTTTTTCCTAAGCCAAAACTGGATACTACATCAGATCAGGTATATGAACCCTTTTTCTCTACTTAGGCCCAGTATACTTTTTGATTTCCTTATTCAGTATAAATTTGTTTTACTCAAATTTCAAATTCCCAAATCCATTATCTAGATCTCGAGGAGCTTGATTGCACAAGACTCCAAATCTTGCATATGCCGAATAAAAAATGAATTTAGCATAAAAAGTACCCTATATACTTACAAAGAAGAAATTTCCCCTGGCCACAATTTGCCATTCACTACAGTTGTCAAATAATGATTGCTATAAAAAGACTGTACGCCAATGCTTTTGCGGACAATGCAATGTTTTTTTTTCTCAAGGAAATTAAAGTATTCAGTTCAAGTAGAGAGATCCTCATTTATTTCCTTCAATTAGGCCATTTACTTCTCTACCTCATTAACTTTGGAGGCATAACAGGGCAATGATATACATCAATGGTAAAAACAGATCAACTGACCTTATAGCTCAACCACCTTAACACCATCGAGTCATTAAGCCTAAAAAACTTTGTTGATCCAACTTCTGTCATAAAGAAAGGAAGATAAACAAAAGCAGTTTAGCTTCCTCAAGAAATTAGCCACGCACAGAGGTATGTGAGGCATTTTAATCAATACCACATACATTCCTCCTACCCAAACAGAGTGCAGTTTTGCCTTGTAATGTTTCAATACTGTACTTCCCACTTTCATATTTTCAAAATGAGTGCTCCAGTTCAATAACTCATTTCCACCTCAGCCCAAAAATACTATGTTAAATGACAATATGTGGCAGTCAATGTGCTAGATGACATAAATTACCTTTAAAATCACAGACTATTTGCATGGATTTTTCTGCAATAGATGCCAATTGTTGATATCCTTCATACCCTTGAACATATAATATCTCATCCAGCTGCCTGAATTTCCCTGGATCATCTTTTTTCTGCATGCTCGTGAATATAACAATGAATCATGTTCATAAAACTGAGACCAGAAAAGGTTGCACCCCAATCACTTTACAAGTGGCGTTACTCAAATCACTCAGTAACACATGTAATGTATTAATAAGGTTAAGAATCAGATGAAAGCACATTTAAATCATTCCGACTCTTAAGTGAGTTCCTTTTGTGGAAAAAATTATGTATTTTCCCATGTCCAAGATGAATATGACTGTTACCATTTGTAAACTAAAAAGTTAGCTGAACAGGAAACACATCGAAAATCTCGAAATTCCAAAATCATAAAAAAAAAGAAAGGCCGCAACATTACCTTCATTCGTGCTTCATCAAATATAGGCAGCAGGATGAAAACAGGATCTACTGGAGTGGCAGTATATAAGCGGCCATCTGTTTAAAGGAACAAAGTTCCATGAGAAAGAAAATTTTTGTGGTTTCTCGTGATTTAATTTTTTTTAAGGACCGCAAGAGAAAACATAAGTTCGTGAAGTAATAGCAATAGATAAAACATCATATTTCTGGTGACATTTTTAAAAGCATCATTCATCCACTGTCAAACTTTTCCCATTATTCCATCAGACCTAGTTTCACACTTTCACTCACACAACAGTTTACATCCTGCATTTACTTTTTCCGAGTAAAGTGAGAAACTTATTTTCTAACTATCTCAGTTGGTTTTGTTGAGTCATGCAAATGACTGTAGATGACCATCACAAGAAACTACATGAAGTTTTCTGTGGCATCTAAAGTGAACATTCAGTCCTTGCTTTATGTCTCTAGCACAACATACGACAATAAGACTTGGAATGGAGTTAGCCCACTCCTAATTCATACAAAATCTAAAGTCAATGTTGATTTTAGCTCAAAACTTAAGACATTTGGAAACTTGGCTTCATCCTGAGGAACTTAGTAAAGAATGATAATACCACAAATATACTAGTACCAGATGGATTTACTTATACGAAAAAAGATTGGTTGTTAAGGTGCTCATTTTTTATAATTTTACCTTCACAAACATAATCCCCCAGGAACCAAGACCCATAAGATTGCTTAAACCAGTGAAGTTCCAGAAGTTCTTCATCAAAATAGAGGTAGCATGCCTTATTTCCTGATACATAAGCAACAAATTATAATCATGTATATCTTGATTGACTTGTCTAGGAGAAGAATAAACTAATAAGAACATCATCATCAGAAAAGACCCAAAGCATAAAAGGCTTCTTCCCACTAAAACAAAGAGCAATCCAACAATTCAACAAGTAGTTTTTAACTACGACAGATATTCACACTGGTTCCAAGTGTATACAAAAAAGCGTTCTAAAGAGAACAAAGAGTAATGGAACAAAGGATCCATTTAGTAATAAGTCACCAGCATGAAAGGTAAAATGTCAACGCTTGAAAGAGAGTAAATGTTTAGTTTCTTGCTCACAAATGTATAGTTACAAACATGAAGAGCTTAAAAGATAAAATAATCACTAAAGCAACCAAGAGTTTTGAGTAGGATTACCAGTTTTGGGATGCCGAAGAGATAGAACATTTCCTGAAACATTCCCATTTGTATCGTGATCTGTAATTGTTAAACTTTCCAACTATTAAAAAGCAAGACTTTCTTACATGTAGAAAGAAAAATAGTATAAGTTGTATATTATTAAAATGAGGCTTCAAGTGATGATTTGCTTAAAGGTTTGCAGATTTTTGCACTGGACTTTAAATTCAATTATCTTATATCACCAATCAGTTCAATGAGTTTATCAATGAAGACAAATCGATATTGCATATAGAAGTTCTGCTGTAGCACAGTGAAATGAAAGGACAGGTCAAACAGGATCGACGAATATAGTTCCTAAAATGAAATAGCAATACCGCAAGAATACCAAGTTCAATAATAAAATAAGTAACAAAGCAACAGACAAAAGGAAAGGGTTTAAATATGCATTCCAAACAAGGGAAATGCTTCTTATATAGTTAGATTTGTCTTGTGGTTCTAACTAATAAGAACCAACGGAAACTTATTTGACACCCAGTCAATGGCCAACAAATCAAAGACTTTACAAGCTTCAAGGATGCGGATTATTTTGGGCCACTACAAAGCTCCAAATACACGCAATTTTACAGGAGTACGCTTAGAAGGTTCAGTCTCAAAATTAAATGCTCATTCTCTAAGCCCATATTAACATGTGGCATATGCTATTCAAATGTTTCATTACAATTTGCAACCACATTGACTATGAACTTCCTTTTGTGAAAAAAAAAATAGCCCACCGGTTAAACAAAATAAAAGCAAAACAAAAAAGACTCCTTTTTCATAAAAAGACGTCATTTTTAGGATAGTAAATTACGGTAACACAAGAAAATAGGAAAAAGGAGATGATTACGAAATGCTGCTACCTGGTGCAATAAGAACCCGAGTTTCATCAGCATCTCCCCACCAAGCCATAGTACCTTTCTATATCAACAAATATCAAGAAAAATTTTAATTCCCAAAGGAAAAAGGAAAAGAAAAGAACTAATCAGTTTAAGCAATGAGCAGGAACAGGGATAGCTAAGCTGGATTCAGCATCGACTGCACGTTCAATGACGAAATAGTTTGGCCCATGAATTTGAATAAAGCTTAAATGCCTAAATGTGATTTCTTGTGAGTAGAGCATCAAAGAAAAAGGAGAAAAACTTGGAAATATTTCATGCCCTGACCTTTAAAGCAACGAAATGGTAGCGCTGTTACTTCGGTAAAATTGAGACCGACGGAGACTTTCGGCGGCAAAAAAAAAACACACACACACACACACACTGACTGAGGATGACTGAGGTTCTGGCGGGAGTGATGCGAGGCAGACCTAACTATTATTTGTATCAAGTACTGATTAATTAATTAATAATAAGGAGAGCGTATTACATTATCCAAATTTTTATTTAGTTTATTGTGCTTCTTGCAAAGGTACTACCTATAAGTTGATTGTATTTATGGTTGAGTCCTCAAACTTTTTACTTTTTGGCATTTCACGTCTAATCTTGTCATATTTGATATTTCACTCCTTTTCAAAGTTGAAACGAAGAGCAGACATTGTAGAGCAGTTGCTCTAATCTATACAGTGATTTAATTAATAGAATTAGTTGCCGTTTTTAAACCCAAAAAAAACTTAAAAAAAAAAAAGTAAGAAGTGTGCTTGTGCTCCAAAGTCGCTCAGTCATAGAATATCGATATTTGTATGTTGCAAATGGATATGAAGATAAATCAATTCGATGAAATATCTTTAACTACTTGGAATCTGATATACAGATGTTTTAAAGATCCAAAATTTCATAATGTGATGATCTACATCTTTCTTATTTTGGCTATGATATACGAGTGTTTTAAAAATCTAAAATTTCATACTGTGGTTCTCTACATTTTTCTTGTTTTGATTAGGAATTTCTTTTTCTCTGTTGAAGTCGGGCATTAATTTTTTTTACTAAAACGATAAACCTTTATTAATAAAAAAGAAGACTATACCACTTGAACAAAGGCTCATATTGAGCTTTACAATCGTATATTAGAACACAGAGGAATCCAACATTTTTCATCTTGTATCAAGTCAGATGCATATATACTAATCATTCTACTCCTTGTGCTACCGTCATTTGAGAACAAAATAAATGAGCATTTCAAAAACAAAAGTCTTAAGCTGTGGATATCTCCTAGTTGAGCAAAAAGTCTAAGAACTTTAGTTTTCTTAGTCGTCAAAAATCTAGTAGCTTCTGTGAAGAGATTTCCAGTTTCACTTGTTGCCAATGAATCTCCAGTGCTTTACTTAGTGCAGATTTGAGAGCTTGTGCATAGTCCAGCATAGCTTCTCCTATACTTGATTCCTTTAGAGCCCAAACAATTTATGTATTGCCAACCCTCGAAGTCGGGCATTGGTTTTGCAAGCCCTTTATCTTTAAGAACTTATTTCGTGTTAAAGCAAGGTGGAGCAAGAACAAAGCAGAAATTGAATTCTTCCTCTTTATTTCTTGTTCCTGGATTATTGTACTCCTATCTGGCTGCCTCCTCTGTTCTACTCTGTCTACCCGCTCGTTTCCCACATGATGTTCGACTTCCACAGAGGAAGTAAGGCAATCAGCGTTTCATGTGACAGCATCCATGGAGGTACCTCTATTAAAGATTCCTACAGGTTTTAAGCAAGCAAATTGCTTCACATAATGTCACAAAGCAGAAGCCAGTAAGGGCATTGTAGTTGATTTCCACTACGAAATAGTGGTTGGATGTACATGAATATGTGCAGCTCCTATCCCTCATTGTACCCTATTAAGCAAACTCTTTGGCTGCAAACTTTCTTTGGCTTTTTCTTGCTAGAAGCAATCCATGATACTCATTTCATTAAGAAACCTCAGTAAGTTGGAGTAATTCTCTAATCCCTTCACAAACCTGCATTGCAGCCAAGAACCGTTATTAAAAGTCAAGGCCAATATTCACTTATTTCACAACAAATATATGGCAATCAACATGAGAACAGGTGAAATTATGGTTCAATTTCAACTACAGTATTACATCTTTTACAGTTTTTAACATTTCCTTCATTGATGTATGTATACGTGATTAAGCATCAGATTTATAACCAAAACACTAGCATCCATCGACTAACTTTACAAGCTAATATTAACAGATTTTCATCTGTGGTAAAGAAGGTGATGACAAAAAGAAGAGCAAAAAAGCAAAGGGATCAGAGAGTAGATACCATCTTGATCTGCGACTTGATTGATGCAATTAGGCGGGTATAATCCTCTATTTGCCTGTATATTAAGACACAAATATTTACACAGAGAACAAATTTGAAAACACCTAACTGATTTATCCATTACAACGTTAAGCTCAGAGTTTTAGAAGCAAACAAAAAGTTAGCAAGTTCCAGATTCAAGCAGTGTGCACCAATAAAGGTATTCAGATGGCGAAGCAAAGAAAAAGAGCAACACTAAGACAATTTTTTTTATAACAATTTTCTTTAAATTCGTTTGCCAGCTCAATGTTGTTAGAATCAGCATCAACATCTCAAATGAGAACAAGATACTCATGCAACTGCCCAGGTGGCATTACCTGTCCAACTTTTCCTCCCTTGCAGCAATATATTGTAAAGCTTCAGACCAAGTGAACTCAACATGAAATCCAAGTCCTACATCGACAAATATACGACTTGTGTCTGGCCTGCAAAGATGCAAGGGTAACAATTGCAAGGGAGGAAAAAGCTACGTTATAGATGTCAAAAGTTCCAAAAAAGAAAATAAAATAAAATAAAAAATAAGGGCAAATCTTCCTTCAAGCCAAAACCCCTTAGAAGAAACTAAGAGTATTAATCAATATTGGGATCTAAGATCTCAAAAGCCATGAAGAAAACCAAGTAAAATGGCATTGATATGGTATGAAGAGACGTACACATCAGCTTGCATATACACTTCAGAACCAAGATTGACCAATGTCCTCAGACTGGTTACACTATTATTCTCCAACGTCTCTATGTTTCTTTTCAGATCAGAGCTACAAGAAGTTAAGGGGAAAAACATAAAGAAGCACTGCAGGTCAAAGTGAACTTGTGCAAAGAAGTAGGAGTTTGAGCAATGAAGATGAACAATATCAATACCCAAATGCAAGAAAATTTAAAAGGATACAAAACTTTTTGTTGTTCAAAGACCTTGTCCCTGCAAAAGAGATACATAGAATATTAGAAATTTGGCACATAACAGAAATTCTGTCTTCAAATTCTCAACTTAATATCGAAATATTAAACAGAAAGTAGGCAAATACTCCAACTCATAGAACCCCACTGCTGATGGTAATAAGCTCAATAAAGTGATAACAGGGAATGGTTCTCCAAATAACAACTGTAAGTGGGTGAGTTCAGGATGAGACAACCAACTGATTAGTAAGGCTAGGCTTCAGAAATTAGTCTCCTGCTGCTTTTGCAAAGAATAGAAAGTACAAACATTGTATCCTTTACCAGTTGCTAATAACATTGACTGTACACTAAAATACCATTTCCTAAAACTATCAAAAAATCGTGGAAAGCAGCCTTAATATGCCTACAGCCATTGAACACTTAATACCAATAAGAAGTACATAATTCAACAAAAGAACACACAAGTGAAGCAATAAAGTACAAATGCCTTTCAGCAATAGCGTGAACAAGATCCGGCTTCAAGCGGCGATCAACAAACTCTTCGAATCTCTGTATCTTTTCTTGCCGAACCCTATCCATTTCAGACCTAGGACAGGTTTAATCATATCAAAAAATCAATTTACTCTAATTCAAACAAAAGGATGATATTGACCTTACTGAATCACAAGGGGAGTCTAGAAACTTGAGCGAATAATTAAGCAAATAAAACAGGAGAAGATGAGTATAACAAGATGCCTGTGTATGATATGTGTATGACATAAGTATTTTCAAAATTTCTCAAGACAACTTTAGGCACAAAATGTAGGAAGAAGTATCTCAAGAAAATTCAAAACCGAAAAGTCATCACCATAAACATCGTCAAGGACATGAATAAACTCTTTATCTTTTCTATGCACCACCCCAAAAGAGGAAAACATTTACTAGCAGCTTGTCTAACTAATCTTACTCATCCCTTTCCTTTTACAAAAAATCATAATTTCGAGCTCCTCGAGACGGAAAATGAGAGAGAGGCCAGCGCAGCTGATAGTGAAATTTGGGCAAAAGGTGTGGTCTTTACTTAGATGGAATGGTAATTGCAGACGGACAATTGGGAGTGGGGAGCGTGAGGACTGGGTTATGAGAAGCGCGATTAGGTGGAGGTGGAGGTGGAGGTGGAGGTGGAGATAGAAATTAGGGTTGTTATTATTAGAGAAACATGAACGTAGAAGGAAGATACCTGTGGACTGTGGTGGTGATGGTGGGCCGGTGGCGGCGAATGGAGGCAGCTCTGTCCGAAACTATCCGATGACTGAGAAATTTATGCGCGCCTTGAACTATAGCATATTTAAGATTTTGAAAAGTGTTTTTTTTTTGTTTTATATGAATGAAAAAGTTCAACTCCCATAATTCTACTCTTTTTTTTTAAAAAAAAAAAAAAAGGTTCTACTTGTGAGTTTGGCTGGCTGAATTGCTGTCTAGAGGAGATGTTTCCAGTTTTGGTTGTAAAATCTCTGAGGCTTTATCCACAGGTTTCCTTTTAACTTTAGGAAAATATTAAAGTTACAAATAAAGTATTTTATTATGATTATATAACTTGCTTATTCCTTCTAATTTAAGAAAATTCGCTCGCCCTTGTCTTTTATGGATTTTAGGTATACCCATTTCTCACAGGGTTAGTAAAATTTTATTTGACAGTAAATATTAGAGCATTCGGATCAATTTTCTGGTACAAAATACAAAAAAAAAAAAAAAAAAAAAGGGGAAGATGAAGATATGAGCTCAATCAACATTAGCAGCAAAAAGGGTAGAAGATATAGGCTTAATCAACATTGAAGATATAAGCTTAATCAACAGTCCATTCTGAACTATACATATCAAAAGATGAAGATGTTAGAGAATCTCGAGAGTCATTTGATATATGTGACGTAAAAAATTGATTGAAAAATATGTTCACCGAAAATGTAAAAATTTTTGATAGAAAGATATAATCCAAGCGTCACATAGCTCATTCTACTTAGGTTGCATGGAAAATGAGTCCACGGACCAAAAAAATTTAACAATGATAATATGCAGCTTAAATGTGCTAAATTGACACCCGAAAAAAGATTTCAATTCCAAAAGTTCAGACAAAATTTCCTTTGTACATCACACTAGTCATATTGAACTCTAGTCTGCATAATTACAGAGAACCTCTCTCCCATTATGGAGAGGAACAATTATGGCCTTGCTCATAATCGCCTGCATACAAAAGAATCCTGAGGACCACAGGTTACTAATCATTTTACAGCAACCAAGTTACTTCTGCATCAGAAGTTCAACTTTCTACCTCTAAAATGATTAAATACAAACTGTCAATATACTTAGCATACAACCAGTCACCAGATCACACAAGCTTGAATTCATTTGTTTTCTATTCCCTGCATGTTATAATTGGTATCAACAAGAGTATCTGTATATGGCAACTGCATCATCTTTGTCCTTCTACCTGTCATAAAAACTAATGAAGCATACTTGAATCAGACCATTCAGGCAAGAATAACATATGATATGAGGAACACCCTTTTTCAAAAAAAAAATTTACTTATTATTATTTATTTTTTGGATAGGATTGCATGTAGCCCATCGGGGCATCAATACAACAGCTGACTATCAAGATTAAAACTAACATCAATAGAAAAACTCATGAATATTACAGCTAACTCACTAAGTAGGGGAAAGCCAGACTAAAATCAGAAATTGTGAGATTCCCACACAGGAGGTAGACGCCTGGGGACTCAACCTTTCTTGTTTTTTAACCTCTGGACCAAGGTCTCCTCAGTAGGAGCAGCTTCTCCCACTTCACATTACTGTGCAAGTTTTGTAGATGCTTTTCTTCACAATTCATTATATTTTGAACAAAAACTGATTTACCAGTTCATCGATAAACAAATGGGGCATGTAGAAAATGGATAGCTCAGATGAGCATTTAACTGCTTCATGCACGACTTCACTGCATTTCCATTCATCAATAAATGGAGGTTACCTATAAAGAGAGACTGGAAGCAGAAAAACAAAGACCACAACATGCACAGGCACATGCACACGCAAACTTTACAGACAGAAAATTCCATCAGCTATCCTTTAAGATGCTTCAAGAATCAGAATGATTTATATACATCATGTGCAAACTACCAAGACCGAGCAATTATCGGCTTACTCTATGTCACCCATAAGTTTCAAATCCTTACCTTGTTAGCAATTCTACCAAGACCGAGCAATTACCGACTTACTCTTTGTCACCCATAACTTTCAAATCCTTACCTTGTTAGCAATTCGGAATATCTAACAAAAAAATGCATTCTAGCAATTATAAAGAGTTTGAAAGCTGCAATTTATAATGATGCAGATACATTCAAATCCATTTTCCATATGCATAAGAGAATGAATATTTCAAATAATGAAACCTTTCCCAAGATAGAATACCAGGAATTCCACTATATACCGTCACAAACTGTGACCTCTCGATGTTGATAAAAAATTGACTGATTTCAAAATATGCCAACCGAGATTAGTCATTTGCACCCAGCGTAAGACTGTAGCTTGCTACCTAATTACTGCATACTGATAGTTGCCATCTAGGTTCATCATTATATGAACTCAAACCCTAGGCCAGCTGAACAAGCAGATTTCAGGTTATTCTGGAGATCTATATGATTCTTAGCTGATGTATAAACAATCAAGTGCATAGCTTCAGGGAGAAGTTAAATTTCAAAGATCTCATGCCTACTTCCATTTTCACAATTTTGAAAGGGGTACTTAAAACTCCTAAGCAGGATTAAGAATATTGGCATGATGATTGCACAAGAGCATGACCTGCTTGTCTGTTAGCTGAATGCACCAGCATTGTTAATGGAAGAGTTAAGTAAATGATAATGCAACAAAAAAAAAGACGAAAAAAAAAGAATAACAAGCAGTTCACATCATTTCAGTACTAAGGAAGATAGTAAGTAGAGATGCCCTAAAACCCCCGAAATAGAGAAAATATTTCCTTTTTGGGATAGTCAGACAGATCATATCCAATCAAAATACCTAATCATTTATATAGAAAGATGACGAAATGCCAAGACTTCTAAATAATCCATAAGTGCACACACCATTCTTTATCCAGCTAAAAGCTGTAGCTTTTCTCTTAGAGACATTAAATGCTGAAGTTGCCAGGAAAAGTTGCTTGGCAGAAGACTTAATGTAGTAAATAATATGAGGAAACGAAAAAGAGCAAAGGTAACTAGAAATGATTTAGTTGAAATGAAAAATATATGGTGTATAACTATACTGTGTACCATAACTATCACAATAAGATGCAGCTAAATGAATGTTTCTATAGCAAAGCCCTCAAACTTTTTCTTTAACCTGCCATCACCACAGATAACTGCAAGCAATATGATGTAGATAAAATAATAGTTTAGAGTCGGATAGACTTATGATCCTTGCATTAATAGTCATTTCTAGCAGATTTCCTTATTGTCCAAGCAGTCCCAAGAATAGAATCAAATATGCAAGTGTTTATGTTATCTGCTTCCACAGCAAGTTCCACTAGCTGTTAAGACTATAGAACTTAGCTGATCACTGCATGCTAACAGCTGCCATCTAGGTACAGCATTTTTTAAACTAATCACCTATGCCAGCTAAAATAACAGATTTCAACATGAATATCCTTAGGTGATGTCTAAGCAATCCAGTGCATAGCTTCAAGGAAAAGCCACATTTCAATGATGTCCTACTCACTTTCATCATTAAAATTTCAGTAGAACTATTTTAAACCCCCCAAGCTGGATTAAGAATATTGGCCAAAAGATTACATCAGAGCAGATTCCTCATGTCTCAGACAGGCAGTAAACTCATGCCATAATATAACATTTGATGACTGTATTGGTGCTTATAACGGAAAAGTTAGTACATGATAAATGAAAGATTTTCTCTGAAGGAAAGGAGAATAACAAGCAGCACACAATACTTTGGCACTAAGCAAGGCGGTAGGTAGATGTATAGCCCTAGAAACCGTGAAAAAACGGGAATATTTCCCTTTTGGGATACTCAGACAGATCATAGCCAATCAAAATACCTAAACAATCGTATATGTGTGTACTGCAGGTAGATGACAAGATGCCTCGAGTGGTAAATAATTAATAAATGCCACATGCCATTTCAGCTGAAAGTTATGGCCTTTCTCTTAAAGACATGCTAAATCCTCTAAATGTTCAGCCCATTCAATGCCTAATTTGTGAAGAACTGTTACTCAGCAAAAGAGTTAATTTAGGAAATGCTAGGTGGGAGCAATAAAGAATAAGAACTGATTCAATTGAAAATAAAAAGCATATAACTATAATGTTCAAAATTTGCACCCTAAGGTACAACTCATAATAAAATTTTTCTATTGCCAAGCTCTCCAAATCTTTCTTTAACCTTCCATTATCACAGATAACTGTAAGCGCTATGATTATGTAAAAGAAAAATTTAGTCATATAGACTTATGATCCTTCCATGTATAGTCATTTCTAGCAGACATGTATACTTTTTCTCATGGTGACAAAGTCCCAAGAATAGAGACGACTGTGCAAGTTTCTATGTCTGCTACGGCAAATTCCACTAGTTTTTAAGACTATAAAACTTTGCAAAGAGATGTCATTGAACGCCGGTTGATTCCAAGGAAATTGTCAAGGCTTCTAAAACTGGTTCACTTCCCACTGCCGCGGCTTCTGTGCTATATGATTTACAGCTGAAGTAGAAAACTGCACTCATCATAGAATCTATAAGTACCACAAATGAATACATGATTACCAAAAGGGGTCCTTCCCATATCCTTGATGAGCCATCGCCATAACTTAATGTCTTCACCCTATGCTCAAACAACCCCTCCACCATTGCCATCCCAATAGTCGATCCAAGAAATATCAAAAGACCAACTTGAGTCTGCCCCTTAACCAGAGAACTCGACCTGAGCAACGCCTGTGGCCCTGAAACATCCTCCAACACCGAGATTACTATAGCAATGTTGCAAATGATTGTCGAATTCGCCAGAATGATTGAGAAAATTAGTCCAAGCACCATAGCAGGATACAAAATCAAATCTGACGGGAACCCCATCACGGAAAATGTGCTGCTCACAGCAACAAGGAGTACACAGAACAATGTGATACAACTAACAATCACCACACAAACCCAAAAATAAGTCACAACAATTCGCCTCCAAATCTTCCTCACAATCACATAAAACTTGGATGAATCAAACCTTTTCCTTGAATAAGTACAATCCACAGAGTAAACAACAGCAGCCTTAGACAGCAGTGACAATGTAATATATAAAGGGAAGCACATTGTAGCCGAAACTGCCATTTCTGCAAACTTTTGACAAGACTGTCTGATAAATGGGCTTAATGGAAGTCCACTAGATTTTGCAACCAGTAACAGCCTTATAGTAAGTTGTTTCACAATGGATTGATCAACCAATACATTAGACAAAACTACAGCTGAAACGGGGCAAATTAAGAGCGCCAGAATTGCAACAAAACCAGTCGAATTATATCGAAGAATTCTTACAGTTTCCCTCAAAATTTCCAGTGCATTGGAAGAACGAAAATGATGGTGATCTGATCCGGAACCATGACCAGCAGTCTCCAATTCAAAGTTATGAAGATCTGGGTCCTCATCTTTTTCTTTGTTCAATGCAATTGAATTAAGCCTAGGACTCAGACCACTTGAAGTTTCCATCTTTCGCCCAAATTTACTTATTAAAATTCCCAAAAAGGAACTAATTTTGGACCAACCCCATTAAGATCTTTTCAAGAATACCTTCTGGACAGCGAAAATTGAACTGGGATTTCTTGAAAAACAGGTTCAATTGCAGCCAAACCAAGACAAATGCGGATCTGAATAAAAAAAAGTCGGAGTTTTTCAAGAAGTGGGTCTGACAAAATAGCACATTGCAGCAAGAGTGAATGGTAAACGTTACAGCCGAGAGATGAGAATGGTGTGAATGTGACGGAGAAAGGGAGATCACGTGAGAAAGAGAGCCATCATGGAGATGGGGACTGAGGATTTGGAAGTGCAAAATGTGACAGAGGAAGTCCGAGGAAAAGAATCATAAGTGTATGCTACTCCGCCAAGTGAAAAAGATAAGCGGGGAGGAACTAGGAAGGTGGTGGTGTGCTTGTGCCGCGTGCCGTGTGGACGGGGGGAAGCCAACTTTCTACCTTACGTTACTGGAGCGACTGACCTCTTGCTCACTGGTCGTAGGTTCAATGGCTCATTAATCATCAGAATCCCAGTAATCTAATGGGACAATGGCAACTTGAAGTGTTTAATTGAGTTATATTTTTAGCATTACTATTGATAAATGATTAATTTTACGGTTTGGCTTGGTTAAGCCTTGCAATAATCTTGAGTTGTATTTTGTAGTGTAATGGAATAGTGATAAATCTTTTTTTTCTTAGGAGAGAAACAGTAATAATCATGAGGTGTATTTTGACTTTGGCTAACACATGAATACTATTGTAGAAACAAGAATGTGACCAAAAAAAGAAAAGGAGAAAACTCATGAGATACCACAAATATGACAGTTTAATTCGCTTCACAAATCACTCAACACCTAGATTCATACTCGTTCATTTCAAATATACACCTACTACTCTACAATTTTTTATGCAAATTATGCAAGTCATTGATGCACCGAAAATGTGTGGAGATATGGAATATTTAGCCATTAATAAAAAAAAAAGTATAAGGAATCCATTTTACCTTAGAGGTATATATAAATGAGGTGAAATATGAAATGGGAAATCACTGAGCTTGGTTCAGTAGTCACCATCAATGCCTATAAGCAAGGTTTCCATTTGTCACTATATGTGGGTTGCCACCATATGCACCCGTTTGGATCAGTGTTGGTTCAGTATCCACTGATTTTATTTTGAATCTCTTTAGATCCCCAAAACATAAAATAAAATGTAGGTTTATTGTGTTTAGTAAAATAAAAAAAAAGAAACATAAAACGGGGAAGGAGCACAAATTGGGCTGCTGTGTCTTAAGAAAAGGAAAAGAAAAAAGGATAATGTGGATTTCATTTTAAAAAAACGATCCAAATGAGCAATTGATGAGGCCCGATCCAATTCTCCACGTCCCACCTGTGCATTATCACCCGAAAAAAAGAATCCATCTGCGTTTCTCTCTTTTCTCGTCTGACCATTCCGTTGTTCCCCGGTGGCTCAGAGTTCCTCCATCCCCAAATCAATCAAATCTACCTCTTCGCTGCCGACCGCGAGAAAGAAGTGCTCAAATCTTGTATTCCATCATGTCTACAACCAATTCGCAGATCCTCAATCTCTGGGGAGTCCTGTCTGAATCAAAGCGCATAATCAATGCCCACTCTCGCCACTTCTTAGCTTTATCAGTCATCTTCCTCCTGCCCCTTTCTTTCTCTCTGATCATCTACCCTACTCTTCAATCCACCTTCTTGTCATCCGATTCACTCATCCCACAACAATCCCTCTTCGTCTCCTCACCTTACGCCTCCCCACAGCCCACCACTGCCCAATTCCTCCTCCCTCTCGTCTATACCCTCTTTGTGCTTCTCCTATCCCTTTTGGCTGTAGCCACAATCACCTACAGCACTTTCCATGGATTCTATGGTAGACCCGTTAAGCTTATGTCATCCTTCAAATCAACCCTCTACTCATTTCTCCCTTTAGTTTCCAGCTTCCTTGTATCCCAATTCATCGTGGCTGTGATCATTTCACTTTTAGGCCTTTTTGCAGCTTTAATTTACAAAAGTTTGCAACTTTATGGTTTGGATATGGATTTTGACTCAAAATATTTTCTGGGATTTTCGATTCTCATAGCGATAATGGTTGGATTAGTCTTAGTTTGGTTGCAAGTGAACTGGTCATTAGGGAGCGTGGTTGTAGTAGTAGAGTCGAAATGGGGCTTTGAGCCATTGCAAAGAAGTTACTATTTATTGAGTGGAATGAAAAGGGTGGCATTGTCAATGCTGTTGTTTTATGGGCTGGCTATTGGGTTATTAGTTTGGGGGTGTTCGACTTCTGTGGCGAATGCAGGGCAGGCCAGTGGATGGTGGAGGTGGACCTTTGTGTTGCAGACGGTTGTTAGCTCGGCTTTTATTACTCTGCTAATGCTTCATAATGTAGCTGCTAATGTGGTTCTATACATGTATTGCAAGGCATTACATGGCGAATTGGCATTTGAGATTGCTGAGGAGTTCGCCTGCCAGTATGTTAGCTTGCCCTTTGATTGCCAGAAGGTTCCCCATATCGTTTCTGTTGTTGAAGTTTAGTCTAGTTCTAGGTTGTTGAACTTGGTTTGTTGCTAAATTCAGGCTGTAGTCTTGTTTGGTTCTGTATCAGCTTATGCTGTTTGTTGATCTTCCTGTATACGAACTACATTTGGAATTGTGTGCTGAAATATTTGTAAATATAATGGCTGTTACACGTTTGCTTTATGATTCATTAAACGAGTATGTTAGCTTCGTTTAGCTGGTTGATTTGGAAATATACATCTTTTTTTATCTCATTATAGGATTCCACGATAATTCTTATGTGGTGTGCATTTCTATGTATTCAAGTGGCATTTTTAGTTTGAAACTGTGATTTACTCATTTGATGTTGGGAGAATTTTGGTTTTGCCTGATTATACAAACTTTATGTTTGATGCAATTTAGGATTACTAACTCGATTTCTCTGGTGATATCCACTAGTATAATCTGTTGTGATCAGATGCTTATGCTTCTTGTAGTATGATCTTGTGACTTAAGTCGGACAATTGACAATGTGAAGAAGCAAGCCAGTGTTAGTACATTTTGGCATTTGTCTGCTAATAAAGCATTTAGTCAGCAAGGGCATCTAGGAATTATGGATCACGTATTTGAGTGTTAGCTCAGCATATGTTTAGGGCTCCAGTACTATTACTACAAAAAGCATATCCTGGGAAAACAGCAACAAGTGGTGGAAATGAAAGTGGATTCGACCTTGCTATTGGCTGCTACTGCAATTCTCGTTTACTAATCGTTCGTAAACACATCTAGTACGAGTCTCTCTCGGGTGGGGAGGTCTTGTGTTTGGTATTTCAGATGACAGAGTTGTCCTTAAATGACTCGGCAACACAAAGCAAGAATGCGTGGAGGCAGCAAAAGTTGGCTGATGCCTTGTCAAAAGCCTAAACACATCTAGAGACATCAAATGTGAGCTGATACCTTGCCAAAAGACCATATTACGTCTGAGGCGCCAAAAAATAAGCATTTGATTCTGATAGCATCTTTAAGCGTCATTCTTTACAGATGACCTGCTACCATGGAATGGGAAGAACAAATGGGCAAAATGAACGACCAAGCACATATCAGCATAATCTGCACTACAAGGAAGGTATCCTAGCATTGATGGCACGGCCTTCTTTCAGAAAATTAGGAACACCTTTCAAACCTAGCGAATAGTCGACGACTGATGATGCTTCAGGAACGGTAATTGCAGGGTGAAATTTCACTTGTGTCGTTAAATCTTTACAGTGCATACCATTCTCCCCAAAAGAAACTTTCGTCCAAAGAAGCCATGAGATCTGGCATACTCAGAGGTGGCGACCAGGTGATAGGCTTCGGCTAACAAATGAAAAAATGTTGAGGCTACAATTTACTTGGTTTCTACTTTCTAACATCAGACCTAGATGAAGACGAAAAGTTCAATCTAGTGACCCTGTCATCAGGGTCAGTGCCAAAAAGAAGGCTACTCCAGTTGGATGGCCTCTGTCCAATTCTATGAGGAACTCGGTCACTATCTTCCCCACCTGATGCATCATATCCATCACTTGTAGACCTTGACAGAGGGATATCCTTCTGAGCATTCATGCTAGCAGCTGATAGACCAACGAGTCGCCTTGCTTCTTCAGTACCCAAGGATGCCCCGAAAGGATGGATATCAGGGGAGTCTAAACTACTTTCAGGAGAAGAAGCAACAATTCCAGCTGAGGTGGAGATAGTTCGACCTGTACGGAAAGCACTTGGGGCTTCAAGGTGAAGAGGTGCCAAACTGGTTGAGGTATCAGTAATCATGTACCGCATACTAATTCCAGCAGCTTCACTCGAATTTCTTGTCAGAGGTTCAACGGGCAAATCTGCAGGAAGGCGGACTCGCTTACTGGGTCGTTTTCTGCTATTATCTGGCCTTGAAACCATTCGGCGCCCACTGCTGCCAAAACTACTGTCCGTTTCATGAGTATATTGTGCTTCATGTCTCATTACAGGCTGCAGAATCTTTGACTTCTTTCTAGCTTCTGCAGCAGCCTTTGACACCTCCTCTGCATTCAGCCGAGCTAAAGTCCATGGACTGATCTTTACAGGCACTGGGTTCTTTTTCTTTATTGGCTCCTCCACAACGGACTTTTTTCCAAGTGAACTTACAGATCCAGTCTCAGGAGGAACTACATCAAACTGCAAGAACCGGGAGTTACGATAGAATCAGCATTAGAATTATAACTGACTTGTTACTGTTTGTAAAAAATAAAGGAAGTGGCCATCAAACTGGACACTTAAAAAGCCTTCAGTACTAACGCTCTCATGACTAGTGACTACTAACACCTCCTGCCTTGTAAAATCCTCAACATCATTGCTAAAGGGAATTAAATCCTTTTCTCATTTTTCACTCGAACATTCAATTTTTCCTTGGCTGATAATTAAAAGAAAATCCCCGTTTTAACATGCTATCCTCAAATCATTACTCTTGTGGTTGCAGTGATAATGAATCAATTCTCAAATCAACACTCTTTTGATCGCAGTTATACTCTAGCAAAAGTTTACAAGACAAAGAAGCTGCAAGATATCAGGATATTAGTAAGCACCGTTTTGGGAAACTAAGACCTACTTATCATCAAATAGAGAAGATAGAGGGGGAAAAAAGACAGAAAGTTCTAATTTCCCATGGAACTTATTCAAACATTCTCATATCAGAAATGCTAGAAACAGTCGCTTGAGTAAAACATGAAAGCCCTTTGACTAGCCAAACTTACACAGATACATGACTAAGTAGCGTACATTATGTTGGACTATTCCTTGGAGCAAGAATATGCAGATAATTGTACCTGATCTTCAACAAAGAGGCGTGGCGGTGTGCACCAGGCTGCTCGGTGGAAATTATTAAAGGAGCTTGCACTACTTAATCCAGTGAGGGAACTAACAGGTGACATTTGCGGACTTTGCTGGCCCCCAATGCC